AAATACCTAGCCTCTCCTACAGCCTTGTGCTTCATCCAGGGGCTCTGGGTCTCAAGGTTGTTTGCAGGCTGCCATTTGACATAAATCTTGTGTGTGTCTGCGCCTCTCTAGAGCAAAAGTCAGGCAGGCTTGTACAAGGTAGGCTGTGTGCTGTGAGCATCAAGGGGGTAGTGGGGGGCTCCAGGTGGCCTTGCTGGGGGCCTTCCAGGGCCTCTCCTACAGCCTTGTGCTTCATCCAGGGGCTCTGGGTCTCAAGGTTGTTTGCAGGCTGCCATTTGACATAAATCTTGTGTGTGTCTGCGCCTCTCTAGAGCAAAAGTCAGGCAGGCTTGTACAAGGTAGGCTGTGTGCTGTGAGCATCAAGGGGGTAGTGGGGGGCTCCAGGTGGCCTTGCTGGGGGCCTTCCAGGGCGGTTCCCTCCCTCCCTGGGAGGTGTGAACCCAGCTCACCTGCGTGAACCAGCAATGATGGTGATGGTGCTGGCACTTTCCCTGCTGTCCTGGAGGCAGTGAGCACTCAAGCCACCCCTCGTGCCTTGCTGGCTGATTGTTACGTCAGCATGTGATGTCACAGTCCTTGGAAACGCCCACCAAAGGACAGGGGTCGAGGTGGGTGTGGGTGGGAGAAGAGTGGAGGACAACTCTGCCACAAGAGACATGGTGACCCAAACCCCTCGGGGTGGGGGGCAGGAGGGCAGTATCGGACCTTCAGCCCAGAGGAACAAAATACCAAATACTTCATGCCCTTCACCTAACGTAAGCATCACACATGGAAATATTATTCATACTGGGACAGGCACTCTAAAGGGAAGGGGTGTTTATTCCTGCAACCAGTAAATGCAGCCAGTCCTTGCTCATCCTTCCTCAAGGAGCTGATCTGCTGCCAGTGTGCTCATGCCCTGGCTAGGGGGTGTGCCTGCATGCCTTCGGGTGTCACCAGGAAATCAGTTACTCCAAAAGGCAGCGTGGGGTGGGAAGGGGGAGAGAGACAATACGCATCATCCGTGACAAAACTTCAAGAAACACAGTTTTCCACTCATAAGCTAATAAACTTAGAGTACTCAGAAACTGGGTCTGGGACATTCAGGCCAGCAATAAGGCTCAGCTTGTACCCTGGCAGTCGTACCATATTTGTCACAGCACTGTGACAGCACACTGTTAAAAAAGACATTTCATCTTTGTGGCCCATGTGAGATTAAATTAATGTGCCTTTGTTGGTTGATGTATTTATTTTCCTTAAACTGTGCTTAGCAACATGGAACCATGTATATATACACCTTATTTCAGAAATATTTTATTCTCACCACTAATTAACAGGCGTGTACTTTCCAGTCTTGCTGTTGGTTGTAGCAAGCCCACAGCAGTGCACAGAGCTTGGCCAAGCTCTGCCCATTCCAGGAAGAAAACCTTGCAGATACTGCTGCATGCTCACTGGTCCTGCACTTCTGCATGGCCTTTGGTCTTCCTCTTGGGCTGACTGTAATTCTTCATCAAATCCACTGCTGCCCAGAGAAACTTGTTTGCCCTTTGCCAAGTCTTGTGCAAAGGGCACTGGACAGCTGTCAGCCTTGAGAGGCTTCTGTGAGGGGGCAGGTGGTCCAGGCAAGGGTGAAATGGCAAAAAGGTCCTGATGCTACCTCCTCCTGCTGCTGAGGAACACGGCCTGGCATCCTGCCCTACCAGGACGACAGCGTCACGGCTCTGGCACAGCCTTTCAGCGCACCGGTTCTGCAGTACTACTGCTGCTGCTGAGCCAGGGGCAGAGACTAAGGATGCCAACGTAAACCTCAGACAAGCGATTGGTAGCAGTGCTGTTTCTGCGTTTTAGACAGATGCTGATCACCCCAATGAATTGATTCCGCTTTCCTTGTTGCAGGCAGCCTTTTTGGGACTATCCCGGCAGGGATGCCAGTCTCCCGTGCAAGGAAAGAAGGGAAGAAATGAGGCATCATAGGAATGATGATGTGAAGTGCAGATGTACATCTTGTTGTTGGGGATTTTTCTTATGTTCTAGAGAGGTGTCTTTTTTCTGTGGCAGAGTGTATTGTTGGAACTGAACTTTTTTCCCCTTTTAGTTACAGCATATGACTTTTTTTAAAAAAAAAAATGAAAAATGTGTACCTAGCTTTAGATGAATAGGTGAAGCTGGAGGACCCAGAAAGAAAGCCATACTCTCAGAACGAGCAGCCAAGTGCCCATAAATTTCAAGGTCAGGAGTTCACCTCTTTTTTGGGGGGACTGTAACTCAAAAGCACTTCAGATCAATTCTGTGATACCAACAGCTTATTTGTTTCTGCTCCTCACAGTCTGTATGTGACAATGAATAAACCAAAAGGTCACTTCTCTTAAAGCTCTCGGGGCAATGTTGCCCAGCTGTAACTCACAGCTGTAAATCAATGAAGCCATAAACAAAAACAGCTCAAAAAAAATCACATTTCAAAAACTGCAGAGATTTCCAGGGAAGGTGGGGCACACTCCTGTGGATCTGAATGGCCTGAACAAGTGGTCTCATCCAGCCCCTGTCTGACTCAAAGGACAAAGCCCCTTCTCCAGCTCTGCACCTCGCAGGTACAGTGAGCATGCAAGAAGCTCAGCAGAGGTCACCAATGTTTAACAAAAAAGAGAACTATGTTATTTCCATCCTTGTACACACATACACACAGACACAGAGGCATGTGTGGTCAGGGACTTTTATTAGCCAGCAAGCCCTATTAAGAAAAAGGCAAGTGGCTAGTTTGTTGTTTTGAAATTTCCTGCCTTCTCTATACTCGTATTTCTGTGCAAATTTTATTCCTGTGGTCATCCACAGATTTTATTAACAGCAATTTTTCCTGTATTTTCAGGTCCCCAATAAAATCATGAAAAGGCATTGGGCCTAACACCGAAAGCTGCAGATTCCTCCCATAGAAACCTCTAAGAAAAATCATCTCCTGTGATCTGTCAGTTCATCATCACTAAATTCATTTAACCTGGAAGACAGGTCTTTACAGGGCCGCTCTCTAGAATGATGGCACATAACTGACAGATCACACAGCAACATTGGTTTAATGTGTTCCAGATGTATTGCTTCAGTGAAGTTAATACAGAGATTAATCTGAATCACTGTGCCTATGGTCTCTGCTCTTCAATTCTCTCATGGCTACATGCCAAATTTTTTCTGCTTTCAGCTACAAGACTTTCCACAAAGTCAGGCCAAGGGAGCACACAATTCAGTCCCAAGTAACTAGTTAAGTATTTGAAGCTGTTGCCAGCCTTTTATGAGCTCAGTTTAAAATTATATTTAAGGAGGTTTGAAGCATCTTAGATAAGACAGATGCTGAAGAAATAGAGGAGGATCATTGGATAAGGAAAAAAAAAGAAATGGAAAAAAGACCAAAAAAAGCAATATGCTGCTGAAATAATACAAATAACATATATAAACAGACATGTACACACACAATGTTCTTGTTCCTGAAGCAAATGCACTATTAGCAAGAAATTCTCAAATTGTGAAAGGATATGCTAAGTTGCTTAAATCTTAAATCTTCAGTTGTGGGGAAGTGATTTATTCTGTATCAGTAAAATGCTTAGCTGCAAAACAGAGATAGTGTTCTGTCCAAACAAATTCAGTGTTCTGTCCAAATACTTACGTAAATCTGCAGGGAAATTGGAAGACAGCTTTGATACTATCTTCATGGAATCAGCATTATTTATTTAATGACAAATAATATTTTGAGGAGACTAAAAAAGAAGTTAGGGGAACTGTAATACTGAAGCAATCTAAACTAGCTCTGCAGAATAGCAGAAATCCAGGAGAAAAGATTAATGTCTGAAACTCTTTTGTAGGCAAGAAGAATATTAACTTCTGCTGTTTCGAATAAATGAATTCTAAATTATTCTTTGTCTGCTAGATTTTATGAACTATTACCATAATCACATAAACCTCATTTTTTCACATAAAACTATGTATAGCATAAGACTTCCCTTTCAGTGCCATGATCAGAGAAATGTTTGAATGAAGACATTAAAGCAGAGAGATTCCAATTACTGTATGAAACATTCTAAATCTGTCAAAATGAGCTGCTCGGATTATTGCTCGACCCAGAAAACCCCAAATGATTGAGGATGAAGGTGAATCAAAACTCAGATGTGGAGCTGTACCTATTCCACAAGCACCCCTGTTTGATCCCAGAGCATGTCCTTTTGCAGTCAAATTGTCCCTTTCCTGGTCTCTGAGTAGACAAAGAACAAAGGTTTATTTAAAATGAGAGTCAAGTAGGAGAATGTAATACATAGTACAAGTTTGAAAAGCAGTGACTTTAGCTGTCTTGCTGAACAAATACCATCTGTCTGATGCAGATGCATGAGGAAAGATGAGAAAAGAGAGCCACGTGTTGGTGCCTG